GACAAAAGACTTGTCCATCCAGCCTTACATGTTGGAGCCAAAGTCAGAATTACAGACTTTACTGCTATTACAGAATATAATGATATCCACACTGCACCGGGACTAACAAAATTAAACTTTTCTGCCTCTGCAGTCTCCAAAATGTATTTAACAGCTTAAAAATGGGATTTTGAATGATATGTCCCCTTTAAAACAGAAAAAAACAAACTGTGGAAGGATGTAGAGATGGAGCAAGGACTAGTGTGTATTAAATTGTGTTTTATAGGCTAAGTACTACATCAAGCTTGCCTTGTTACTGTGCATTTGATATGAGACATAATGAAATATAAAGAAAAGTTTAACCAAAAATCTCATGACGCCCTTGCAGTACCTCCACAACCCACTAGGGGTTGCGACCACATCATTGAAAACCTCTGCTATAAAGTATGTTGTGGTTGTGTATGGTTCTTCCACATGTTACTGAGATCCCTGATTGTTAAATTAATTTTGTTAAATTGCCAAAATGTTTTGTTTCAAATCCAATAACTGACACCAAACAAGAGCTAACAGCAAACTGTTTGGCGTTTCCTTCATTTCCCAGATAAGTTTGTTTAAATATTATCAGCTTTTTGAAAATCTACATCAGTTTGAAGTGGAAAACTTTACTGCTGAAGGGTAGTTGAGCACCAGAAAATGGGACTCGGCCTTTGAGTTGCACATTTAGTTTTTGAATCAGTGAGATGTTTCACACAGCACACAGATTACGATTTGACTGAAACTCCATGCAAACACATAAGCTGCAACCAACATTTTAAAAAACACAATATTTAATGAGTGAGAAAAACATGACTAACCACAGCCCAAAATGGTAAATGGACAAACAAACATTTTAGCCCACTGTGTAAAACTAATAATAATAAAAAAGGCTGTAACGTGACAGAAATCCTGCCTGAGCTTATCTCACCTTCTGCCAACAACCAGGCATCGGTAATCCATCTGGGCCCTGGTTAACAGAAGAGTAACAATGAGAGCTGGAACATTACGCTTTGTTGTTAATAAGTGTATAACACTRTTATAAACAAGCCTCAGGCACAAAATCATTATGTAAAACACTTAAAGCTTGTCAGAGGTTTTAGGTTTTCAGTGAAAAAACAAAACAAAACAAAAAATCTGTTTATTAAACTTGTTTCAGAGTAAGTTTGGTTGACTTGCTGTTCAATAAGTATCTGACTCAGATGTAGATTAGGAAGTAATTAAAGTCTTGGTTTGCTAAAGTTTTCCAAATCTTGCTCGGTGACGACAAAACTTAAAAATTATATAAATAT